CCGCGCTGATCGTGGAGCCAAGTTTCTCGTGATGGTCTCACGTTGGGGCGCAGGCCCCAAGGGATGGGGGCATTCGTGCGGCCGGCCTACGCGGGCGACAGCAGATAGCTCGCCTGGGAAGAGGGGCAACCAGGACAGAATCTGGCACCCCGACCGTGACTAGGATCCCGGTGTGCCAGCGCTCCTAGGTGGAGTGATTAGCCTACGTGGAGGATTAGCCTAGTAAGCCGCGGCGCCAGCCTGAAATAAGTCTTTAAAAATATAAATTTTCATTTACAAGAAAGAAAGAAAGAGAGAAAGAAAGAGAGAGAGAAAGAGAGAAGAGAGAAAGAGAAAGAGAAATAAATAAAGAAAGAAAAAGACAGAGAAAGAAAAAGAAAAAGGAAGAAAGAAAAAGGAAGGAAGGAAGGAAGGAAGGAAGGAAGGAAGGAAGGAAGGAAGGAAGGAAGACAGGTTGAAACCAAGAGCCAGAAACTTCATCCAGGTCTCCCACATGATGGCAGGGGTCCAATCACTTGAACCATCATGCTTCACAGGATGCAGTACAGAAAGCTAGATCAGAAGCCAGGACTGGAACCAGCACTCTGATATGGGATGTGGGAGTAGCAAGCAGCAGCTTAAGCTTAACCCAATGCACCACAATGTCATTCCCTTCTCTTTGGCAGCCAGTTAGTTTACTTTTTAAAGAATGGATTATATAGCACATTAACTAGCTATTAACTTCAAAAGACACAAATGTGAAGAGTTCATAAAACGAGTTTTTGTGTTCATACCTATAAAAATATCTGACATATAGCCGGCGCCGCGGCTCACTAGGCTAATCCTCCGCCTTGCGGCGCCGGCACACCGGGTTCTAGTCCCGGTCGGGGCGCCGGATTCTGTCCCGGTTGCCCCTCTTCCAGGCCAGCTCTCTGCTGTGGCCAGGGAGTGCAGTGGAGGATGGCCCAAGTCCCTGGGCCCTGCACCCCATGGGAGACCAGGATAAGTACCTGGCTCCTGCCATCGGATCAGCGCGGTGCGCAGGCCACAGCACGCTGGCCGCAGCAGCCATTGGAGGGTGAACCAACGGCAAAAGGAAGACCTTTCTCTCTGTCTCTCTCACTGTCCACTCTGCCTGTCAAAAATAAAATTAAATTAAAAAAAAATCTGACATATGCTCAATAGTATTGTGTTGAACAAATCAGAGCTAATAATTGAAATTAAATTTGAATTTACTGTTTATTAATTTTGGTAACATTTTTAAATGATGAAGGCAACTAAAAGGCAAAATAATGGATTTTCACAGATTATAGCACTAGAATTTTTATTTGTTAATTCAGCACTATTATTATAATGGTTATCTTATGTGTCAAATTGACTAGGTCACAGGGTGCCGAAATATTTGGTCAAACATTCTGAGTATATTTGTGCAGGTAATTTTAGGTGAGGTTAGCATCTGAATCTGTAGACTAAATAAAAAAGACTGTCCTCCCTAAAATGAGAAGGTTCCATCCAATCTGTCCAAAACAGGAAGGGTTAACCTGGTCTCAAGTAAGAGAGAAATCTTCCTACCTGAAGGTCATCAATTGTTTCTGGTATTCACATTCAAAGTGGAGCATCAGCATTTCCTGGGTCTCAAGTCTGACAGCCAATTGACTCCAACTACACCATCAGCTTTCCTGGGTCTCCAGCTTGCCAACTGCAGCTATTGGGACATGGAAACTTGTCATCTTCCATAATCATGTGAGTCAAGTCATTATAATAAAGTAATCTCTCTATATTCACATCCTTGGCAGGATGAAGATACTTCAAAAAGTTCAGTGAAAATGGAATTCAAAGTAAATTTATTTTGATGTAGATTTTGAGATCATAGATACAAGTCACACACACACACACACACACACACACTTGGTTTTACTTCTTTGGAGAAGCCTAATACAAAGCTGATCACAAACATTTCAAAGATGACTTTATTTTATACTACTATGGATACATACATACATACATATATTTAAAATATTATCTAGCCTGAAATTTACTCATTCAGTCTATATTTAGTTTCATAGCCTTTATTAAAGCAAAACAGGATGACATGCTTTTGTTTATACATCTGTCATTATTTTCTTGGAAATTTGGTCTTCCAGTCCATGCTTGTTTATTGCTTTCCCTTGGAAAAGTACATTCTTTTAATTGTTAAGTTTCCTTCAGTTATAATATATATTTAAAATATTTACCTATTTATTTGAAGGGGAGAGACACAGAAGAACAGAAGAGAGTGACAGAGAGAGACACACACACACATACACACACACACCAACCTTCTATCTGGTAGTTCACTTCCCAAATGCCACGACAACTGGGGATGGGCCAGGCAGAAGCCAGGAGCAAGGAACCTCTTCATCCAGGTCTCCAATGTAGGTAGCAGGAACCCAAGGACTGGGGTCATCATATTACTGCTTCCCAGGTGCATTAGCAGGGAGCTGGATCAGAAATGTGGATTAGTCAGGACTTGAACAAGACATTCTAATATCAGATGCAGGCATCCTAAGTAGGAGCTTAATCCAATGTGCCACATCACCCACTGCATAACGTATGTTTTATACCTCCCTAGAAGTTAATGATGAAGGATGAAATATTAGAGAAAATCGTTATCACCCCTTAGTATACCTATAACTACAAAATAGTAATATTTTAAATATTTGAATAGTAAAATCACAGGGATCAATTAATTACTGATTAAACTTGGTAATATGATGAGAGAATGTTCCGAAAGTCAAGATATTTTTCTTTCTAAATAGAAATTTTCACTAAAATCTATAATGGCATCTCGGAAATTTTTGAAAGTCTACAATTATTTTGTGACTAAGCACTTATGTTAAGCAAGTACAGAACAGAATTTTATCTCAATGATAAATTGATCAAGTGGAAGTTTTTCATTTCTAGTGTATGATTCTATCACTGAACTCAATCACATGGACATTGTTATTCCTCTTTTTTAAGGGATCAATGATTAAATGCCTCTAAAACTGCCAAGATAAGTTTGCACTGTGACATTTTCATTTGCAATCTTTCAATTTTTTCATAACACTGATTACAAAATAGCATGTGCTTCAAAAAGACAATGAAAGACCAAAAAAGAAAGAAAAATTGTTTTAGTCAGTCATGTGAATAAGTCTCTAGATGAAAATAGACACTTTATCCATAACTTTAGAACTATCATAGAACATATATAATATTCTGTCATTCTGCCTTGTTCCTTGAGAACAGATATTACATTTGATTCTTTTTTTTTTTTTAACAGGCAGAGTGGACAGTGAGAGAGAGAGACAGAGAGAAAGGTCTGCCTTTGCCGTTGGTTCACCCTCCAATGGCTGCGTGGCTGGCGTGCTGTGGCTGGTGCACCGCGCTGATCTGAAGGCAGGAGCCAGGTGCTTCTCCTGGTCTCCCATGGGGTGCAGGGCCCAAGCACTTGGGCCATCCTCCACTGCACTCTTGGGCCACAGCAGAGAGCTGGCCTGGAAGAGAGGCAACCGGGACAGAATCTGGCGCCCCGACCGGGACTAGAACCTGGTGTGCCGGTGCCGCTAGGTGGAGGATTAGCCTATTGAGCCATGGCGCCAGCCTACATTTGATTCTTCTGTCTCCAGAATCAAACACAGTGACACATATTTAGAGTATATAAATGTTCACTGAATTAATGCACCAATAAATTATAAATACCTAGATTGACTGTATTCATGACTTTCACTATAAATTTCTTGAATTCTAAGAATACATTTTGTCTTTTTGTATTTCTAAACACATGTGTTTTATATATATATATATATATATATATTTACTGAGTTAAATAAAGGGAAATGGATGGCCTGTTTTTGACTGATTTCTTTTGGTCTGCTTCTATATTAGAATATAAACTGTAAGGGAAAGGACAATATGTCTCTTTTGCTATGAATATATCCTCAAATCATATATCATTTTCTAGATCATATTAGGAAATCAATAACTATTTGTTGAATCAATGAGTAAATGAAAAGAGGTTTGAGATACATGATGGGAAAGTTGAGTGAAACAATGATTTACGGAACATTGGAGAAATGATATTTTATATAGCTTATGTGGTTCCTTTCATATATCATAACAGATAATTATTTTAAAGTCATGCTGAGTGGCTATTAAAATACAAATAAGGTTAACAGTCCTTTCTCTATGAATCCAACTAAACACTTTGTTTTATTAGAGAAAACAGAAGTCTGCACATACCCAAGATGAGAAAATTCACAACCTAGGAGAAGAGAGTGAGCAAATCTAGGATTTTAGGAAAGATATTGAAATTGTCCAGAGGACTGTGTTAAGCCTAGCAGTTAAGAACCTGGTTATCATGCCTGCATCCCACACTAAACTACCTGAGTTTGGTCATCTATTCCAGCTCCTGATTCCACCTTACTTGTATTTCACACAGTGGGAGGCAGCAGGTGATGGCTCAAGTGGTCATATCTTTGCAACCCACATGACAGACTCAGATGGAGTTAAAGGCTCTTGTCTTAAAGTCTGGCTCAGCTGTAGCCACTCCAAGCATTTGTAGGTGAACCAGAGAAAGGGAGCTCTCTTTCAGAAAACCTTTTTTTAAAACTGTGCATTTTGGGATTCAAACATGACAGAAAGTGTTTTTGGGATTATGCTGAAAGGTTAAAGAGGATAAAGGAAGTGAAAAATATGTTCAAAACAAGCGGAAGAAGGGAAGGTGGAAAGAGTCACTGAGATTTTGGAGTTGGGGCTCTGTTGTCAGAGAAATGTGTACTTGATCATGAAAAAGAGAAAAGTGCAGGTCACTGGGATTAATACAGTTCAGGAACTAAGTGAAAAAAATCATCAAAGTGTCATGATATAGATTTTGATATAGATATTGAAGTCACTGAGGAAAACAGCTATTCCAATAAAACTTTGATATTAAACTCATATAACTAATGATATTGAAGTGACACCTTGATAGTAGGGACTCCATTTTCAAGCACCCCCTCCCACCATGACACTTTGGTCTGAAACTAATTATTGTGTTGTATAAAACAGACAAAAACAGTTTGCTGCATCCCACTTGGCAGAGCACAGACACTCTATAGCAGGATCACTCAAGCTTAAAAACAGATAGGCTGCACCTGGATTAATGGTAAGATTGTAATTTGTCTATGTCCCATGTATGATTTAGGCTGATAACTGGATTAATGTCAAGATTATAGCCAGAAATGTTAAGATTGCAATTGGTGTTGTCAAAATTGTAGTTGATATTAGTTTCACATATGCTTTAGGTTAAGATTACAATTGGTACTGTCAAGATTATAATTTATGTTAGTTTTGCATAGGCCTTAGGTCAGCTTGACTCTAGTAACCAGGTATTCCCCCCCGTCCTAGCAATCATGTATTCTCTATCCTGTCCTTGTGTTTTTTGCCTTTATAAACCCTGTTGCTTTGGGCTTCAGAGTTGAGGGTCCTTTAGGGTATGAGGTCACTCTCCACTGCCAGGAATAAAGGATTGTCAAATTTTACCAGTGTGTTGTGCTTCTCTGTTTGCAACTGCTCAGAAACAACAACATCATGTAAAGCACTACCTCAAGTAAGGTGCTCAAAATAATCATCCAGATGATTAATTCCAAAATATGTGGTTGCACTAATATTCATAAATAACTTTACAAAGTATTATACAGTTCAAATGACACACAATGTCAAACCAGTTGCTGATGAAACTCAGCTCTTACACCTTCCTGGCTCCCAACTCTGGTTCCAGAACCTATGAACCTGGACATCTTTACTAGACTCCTACCCTCCCACTCTTCACTTCCAGTCTCACAAGCACCATGCCAGAAGCCAGATGCTTCATACCCGAGCCCAGACAGTTAATTAAGAGTCCAGTAAGAGCGCTCAAGTGATAGATCTTAAGACATCTACAGAACTGCAACAAGAGAGAAGTGCATCAAAGGGAAAGTATACATCTAGTTGGAAGAGAAAACATACTATAGTATTAGAAATGCCATGATTTTGGCATCCAGGATGGTTGCTAACCAACCTGAAAACTCCAAAACATAAGACCACTCTCTAATTTACACATGGATCCTCCATTAATAACAAAAGCTTATTAGTAAAAGGGATATCATCTCTGTAGATGACACTCCTGCTGATAACTCAGGCTGATCTAATCAGTCCTTTATTCCAAACAGGATGGAAAGAAGTTCACCTCATAAGTCAGGCAAGTGAAGAAAAGATAGTGATAGGCAAAAAGAAGTAACTATGGAGGCAAAATAGATATGATACAGGGCAGAGGAATTTACCACAAGACTTTTATTCTCAGATTGTAAGAATGACACTAGGAGGGTCCAAGTTCGCAGATTAGCGACAGGGTGCTCTGACTCAGATGAGGTGTGATTAATATTTTAAAAAGGTATAAAATACACTAGTAGGACAAAGCTTTGGAGAAACCCCAGCAGGAGACCCAGTGAAAGCACCAGGAACGAACCAGACTTGTACCGAATGAGCACACACCACAAAAAAGAACAAAAGCTTGGATCTGAGGAGAAAGATATCTAAAATAAGCCATGAACATAGAAAACCTAAACAGATCAATAAACAAGACAGAAATTGAATCAGTAATAAATACCCTCCCAACAAAGAAAAGCCCAGTACCAGATGGTTTCACTGCTGAAATCTTTCAGACACTTAAAGAAGAACTAACTCCAATTCTTAAGCTATTCAAAACAACTGAAAGGGAAGGAAACCTCCCAAATTCTTTCTATGAAGCCAGCATAAGCTAAAGTACTAAACCCAAAAAAGACACACTAGAGAAAGAAAACTACAGATCAATTTTCCTGATGAACATAGACTCAAAAATCCTCAATAAAATTCAAGCCAATCAAATCCAACGATACATCAGAAAGATCATTCACCCGAATCCAGTGGGATTTATCCATGGTATGCACGGTTGGTTCAACATTCGCAAATCAATCAATGTGATTCATCACATTAACAAATTGAGGGGCTGGTGCTGTGGCACAGTGGGTTAAAGCCCTGGCCTGAAGCACCAGCATCCCATATGGATGCTAGTTCTAGTCCTGGCTGCTCCTCTTCTGATCCAGCTCTCTGCTATGGCCTGAGAAAGCAGTGGAGGATGGCCCAAGTCCTTGGGCCCCTGCACCCATGTGAGAGACCCAGAAGAAGCTCCTGGCTCTGGCACAGCTCTGGCCATTGTGGCCATCTGGGGAGTGAACCAGCAGATAGAAGACCTCTCTCTCTCTCTCTCTTTCTCTCTCTCTGCATCTCTCTGTAACTCTTTCAAATAAATAAAATAAATCTTTAAAAAAAACAAATTGAAGAACAAAAACTATATGATTATCTCAAAAGATGCGGAGAAAGCATTTGGCAAAATACAACACACTTTCATGATAAAAACTCTACGCAAATTTGGAATAGAAGGAACATTTCTCAACACAATCAAGGCAATTTATGACAAACCCATGGCCAGCATCCTATTCAATGGGGAAAAGTTGGAAGCATTTCCACTGAGATCTAGAAACAGACAGGGATGCCCATTCTCACCATTGCCATTCAATATAGTACTGCAAGTTTTAGCCAGAGACATTAGACAAGAAAAAGAAATCAAAGGGATACAAATTTGGAAGGAGGAAGTCAAATTATCCCTATTTGCAGATGACATGATTTGATATTTGATATATTTAGTCTAAAAGACTCCACTAAAAGACTATTGGAACTCATAGAAGAGTTTGGAAGACTAGCAGGATAAAAAAATCAACACACAAAAATCAACAGCCTTTGTATACACAGACAATGGCTGAGAAAGAGTTACTAAGATCAATCCCATGCACAATAGCTACTAAAACTCAAATAACTTTTTTTTTTTGACAGGCAGAGTTAGACAGTGAGAGAGAGAGACAGAGAGAAAGGTCTTCCTTCCGTTGGTCCACCCCTGAAATGGCTTCCATGGCTGCACCATCCGAAGACAGGAGCCAGGTGCTTCTCCTGGTCTCCCATGCGGGTGTAGGGCCCAAGGAATTAGGCCATCCTCCACTGCCTTCCCGGGCCACAGCAGAGAGCTGGACTGGAAGAGGAGCAACAGGGACAGAATCTGGTGCCCCAACCGGGACTAGAACCCAGGGTGCCGGTGCTGTAGGCGGAGGATTAGCCAAATGAGCCACAGCGCCAGCCAACTCAAATACCTTGTAATAAATTTAACCAAGGATGTCAAAGATCTGTATGATGAGAATTATAAAACAATAAAGAAATAGAACATACAAAAAAATGGGAAAATCTTCCATGTTCATAGATTGGAAGAATCAATTCTATCAAAATGTCTATTCCTCTGAAATCCATTTACAGATTCAATGTGATACAAATCAAAATACCAAGACATTCTTATCAAGATATAGAAAAAAATGATGCTGAAATTCAAATGAAAACACCGGAGACTATGAATAGTAAAGCAAATTTATTTATTTATTTATTTATTTTTATTTTATTTATTTGAGAGGTAGAGTTACAGACAGTGAGAGGGAGAGACAGAAAGGTCTTCCTTCTGTTGGTTCACACCCCTCAGATGGCCGCAGCGGCTGGAGCTGTGCCAATCTGAAGCCAGGAGCCAGGTGCTTCTTCCCAGTCTCCCATGCGGGTGCAGGGCCCAAGGAGTTGAGCCGTCTTCCACTGCTTTCCCAGGCCACAGCTGAGAGCAGGACTGGCAGAGGAGCAGGCGGGACTACAACTGGCATCCATATGTGATGCTGGCACCACGGGTGGAGGAATAATCTACTGCACCACAGCACCAGCCCCAGCTAAAGCAATTTTATACAACAAAAACAAATCCAGAGGTATCACAATACCAGTCTTCAAGAAATAATACAGAGCAATTATAATCAAAACAGCCTGGTACTGGTACAAAAACAGATGGCTAGATCAATGGAACAAATAGAAATGCCAGAAATCAATTCAAGCATCTATATCCAAAGTATCTTTGACAAAGGAGATAAATCAAGGCCTAGAGCAGTCATAGTCTCTTCAACAAATGGTGTTGGGAAAACTGGATCTCCACATGCAGAAGTATGAAGCAAGACGCCTGCCTTACATATTATACAAAAATCCACTCAAAACAGACTAAAGACCTAAATCTATGACAAGATAACATCAAATTATTACAGAACACTGGGGAAACCTTACAAGACATTGCCACAGGCAAAGAGTTCTTGGAAAAGAACCCAGATGCACAGGCAATCAAAGACAAAATCGACAAATGGAATTACATCAAATCAAGAAGCTTCTGCACTGCAAAAGAAGCAATCAAAAAGTGAAGAGACAACTGACCGAATAGGAGAAAATATTTACAAACTATACAACTCATAAAGGATTCATAACCAAAATATACAAGATCAAGAAACTCCACAGCAACAAAAAAACAACCCAGTTAAGAAATGGACAAAGGACTTAAACAGACATTTTTCAAAAGAGGAAATCCAAAAGGCCAACAGATACATGAAAAAATGCTCAGAAACGCTAGCCGTCAGTGAATTGCAAATCAAAACCACAATGAGGATTCATCTCATCGCAGTTACAACGGCTTTCATATAGAAATCACTAAGCAAATTCTGGAGAGGATGTGGGGAAAAAGGGACACTAACCCACTGTTGGTGGGAATGCAAACTGGTAAAGCCACTATGGAAGTCAGTCTGGAGATTCCTCAGAAACCTGAAGATAACCCTACCATTCAACCCAGCCATCCCACTCCTTGGAATTTACCCAAAGGAAATTAAATAGGCAAACAAAAAAGCGGTCTGCACCCTAATGTTTATTGCAGCACAATTCACAATAGCTAAGACCTGGAATCAACCCAAATGCCCATCAGGAATAGACTGGATAAAGAAACTATGGGACATGTACTCTATAGAATACTATACAGCAGTAAAAACAATGAAATCTGGTCATTTGCAACAAAATGGAGGAATCTGGAACACATTATGCTGAGTGAAATAAGCCAGTCCCAGAGGGACAAATAACATATGTTCTCCCTGATTGGTGACAACTAACCGAGCACCAAAAAGGAAACCTGTTGAAGTGAAATGGACACTATGAGAAACAGTGATTTATCGGCCCTTGTCCTGACTGTTGAGGAACAACTTACTATTTTATCTCTTTTAGTATTTTTTGTTCTACTTAGTACTACTGCTTGAACTCTGTAATTAACACACAATTATTCTTAGGTGTTTAGATTTAACTGAAAAGTGATCCCTGTTAAATAAAAGAGTGGGAATAAGAGAAGGAGGAGATGTACAGTTCGGCACAGGCTCACTCAGACTTACCCCTAATGGTAGAGTTAGAAATGTGCCAGGGGATTCCAATTCAAGCCCACTGGAGGGTGAACCAACGACAAAGGAAGACCTTTCTCTCTCTGTCTCTCTCTCTTACTGTCCACTCTGTCAAAAAAAAATGTGTTGTTCAATGTGAATTAATGCTATAACTAGTACTCAAAAAGTATTTTATACTTTATGTTCTGTGTGGGTGCAAACTGTTGAAATCTTTACTTATTATATACTTAATTGATCTTCTGTATATAAAGATAATTGAAAATGAATCTTGATGTGAATGGAATGGGAGAGGGAGGGGGAGTTGGGAGGGTTGCGGGTGGGAGGGAAGTTATGGGGGGGAAGCCATTATAATCCATAAGCTGTACTTTGGAAATTTATATTTGCTAAATAAAAGTTAAAAAAAATGAAAGATAATTAAGTCCCCCACCCCCAAGAAAGTGAAATTATCTTCCACACATAATGACTCTGAATAGCCCTTGTCTGGATATTTGAGGAACAGTTTTTGTTTTTGTATTTGCTTTCTTTTCCTTCCTCCTGCAAACTGTTGAACTCTACCTAGAATATACAGTTCATCTACGTGTATAAAGTTAAATGAAAATAGATCTTAGTAAAAAAAAATACTGGGAACAGGAGAGGGAGGTGGAAGAAAGGTGGGAGTGTGGGTAGGAGGGTGAGGACGATGGGAAGGATTACAATGTACCTAAAATTGTATTTATGAAATTCATGCAAATAAATTAAAACGACTATTAAAAAAGACACGGTGTATACAGAGAACTCTCTGTTCCTGGGGAGGGGGGGATGGATGTTATAAAATATTTTATAGTTCTATTATGTAACCACATTATATAATTCCAATATATAACTATATATTATATAGTTACATATATAGTATTAGACATGCAACATTCTAATATGTAACTATATTATATAGTTGTATTAAATAGTTACATACATAGTATTATATATGTAAAGTTCCTCAGAGCACCTGAGAAAGTCTTTGGGCACTAGACATGTTCATGGCAAAACTTGGGTTCTTCCTGAAAGATAATTAAGTCCCCCCCCCACAGAAAAACATGAACCAGTCCAGTGTTGGCCCGTGTGCAAAACCGGAGGGGTGACACTTCCGGTGTATCCAACGGCCAACTCCTGACCTTTTGACCTCCCCGTCCTATCCTGTTCTTCCGGTAGAGCCCCCACCCACTTCTAACGGCTCTCTCACAAGCCGGCCAACTGACGCCAGACTCCTGGTGCGAAGCGCAGTCTCCACAGGCCGCCAGCTCGCTCCTGGTTTGTCCTGAGGACCAAGGCGCCTGGCTGCTCTGCTTTCACCATCTTTTTCGCCACGCCCCTGCCGCCTGCTCTGCCTGTGCCCGCTATGGCCACCGCATCCTCAAGAGTGCGCCACAACTACCACCCCGAATGCGAGGCTGCCGTCAACAGCCATATCCAGATGCTGCTCTACGCCTCCTACGTGGCCTTGTCCATGGCCTTCTACTTCGACCAAGACGACGTGGCGCTGAAGGGCTTCGCCTGCTACTTCCTGAAGCGCTCGTGGATCGAGAGGGAGCGCTCGGAGAAGCTGCTGAAGATGCAGAACCAGCGCGGAGGCCGCATCGTCTTCCAGGACATCGAGAAGCCTGAGCGCAACGACTGGGAGGGCGGCCTGCAGGCCATGGAAGCTGCCTTCGACCTGGCCAAGAGCATCAACCAGAGCCTGCTGGATGTGCACGACGTGGCCACCAACAGGGGCGACGCCCACCTCTGCCACTTCTTGGAGACCAACTACCTGGACCAGCAGGTCCAGGACATCAAGGAGCTGGGGAGCTACCTGACCAGCCTGCGTAAGATGGGGACTCAGAACAGGGGTATGACAGAGTACCTCTTTGACAGGCTCACCCTGGGTCCGGACAAAAAGGAGAACTGAGCCGAGACTGCCCCCATTGACAGGGGTGATGTCCTGGACCTGATGGGTGCACTGCTCATTCCACACGCTCACCTCAGTTTCTTCCCTTCAGTTTCAGCACTGTTTACAATAAAGTTATATGGTTCTTGAAGCAATACAGGTGTTTGTTTGATTCTGTGGGTGTAAAACTCTCACCTAGAGGAATAGGGCCAATCCTCAGGCAGGTTGAAGATGGGTGTCCAAGAGTCTCTGCCAACCCCCTGTCCAATCCACAGGTACCTCAGGATATCCATGGGTGGAGGGGAAGATGTTCCATGGGCTCCTGGAAAATGCAACATTCATCTCCCCTTATAAAGTGTACTAGTTTGTTAGCTGGTCTGGGACCCTGGTGTCTGTGTAGCTAGCACAATCAACTTGGTGCCCATGGGGAAGACATACATGGAATGGGATTGGAAAGGTGTTAAAATTAAGTGTCTGCCATTTCACCTAGAACTTTAATTTCTTTGAATTTTTAAAATGACTTATTTATTTGAAAGGCAGACTGAGAGGGAGAGACAGAGAAAGAGATCTTCTATCCAGTGGCTCACTCCCCAGATGGCCACAATGGCTGGGGCTTGGCTAGGCCAAAGCCAGAAGCCTGGAACCATGTCTCCCACGTGGGTGGCAGGGGCCCAGGCACTTCGGTCATCCTCCACTGTCATCCCAGGAGCACCAGCAGCAGGCTGGATTGGCAGTGGAGCAGCCGGGACTGGAACTGGTGCTCGTGGTGGCTTAACCTGCTTCACCACTGTGCTAGCTCCTCACTTGAGAAATCTGAGCTCACTAAAAATAAGTAAATGTTGCGAGAGTGCAGGTAGCGTTCAGGTGCGTGGGCTGCCCCCATGCTCATACTGGGTCTGTGGCCTGGCCAGCCTCCCCCACTCTGCAAAGAGCTGTCCATGGTGCAGCACATGTGGACCTAGGCAGCTGGGCCCGCGGGCAGCACTGAGCCGTTATTTTCAGGACAACACGGACCCCGACAGCTGCCCAGTAGTCCTGCACAACTTTGTGCAGCTCCATCCAGACCTGGCACACCTGGAGATCTCTACACACCTGGAGATGGGCAAGGAGCTGATCAATGGGGGCATCTACTCCATATCCCGGCACAAAGTCCAGCTGAGAGCCAGCAAAGAGCCAGTGCTGGCTCGGGTGTGAGAACAAGTTGGACTGGAACCTGTATGACACCTGCAAAGTATGTACCGTGAAGGCAGGCAGACTGAAATAGCTGGTGGGGTGTCTGGTGCCCACATTCCAGGGTAGTGAGCTCTCCTAACGCACAGTCTTTCTGTGTACCTGCAGAGATCTCACCATTATCCAGCAGGTCTTGAACCTGCTTTCAAAAACGTATGCTCGATGTGATGCCCTCATGGCCTCTCTAGATATGGAGGCATCCTCTGTACTCCACTGATGATGGCAGATTCCAGGACCAACTCAAAAATGCCACCTCCTCCATCTTAGGCACTGGCTGGACCAGTACTCAGGGGACTTTTGTCAGCCCCCGGCATTTCGCTGCCTCACAGAGATGGTGGCCTGTGAGCAGTTCTACATGCCTGGCTCAGACCTGGAGCCTTGTGCTCACCTGCTACCGTCCAAACTGGAAGACCAGATCACAGTGAATCCGAACCCCGGGCCCTATCAACTGCAATGCTGGCTTTAAAACCAATACCAGAGCCAGCCCCCAGCACCAGCTATTGCAGCCAGTCCACAGCCAGCTCCAGAGCTAGAGCCCGGATGTGCATCAGAGCCAGAAGCAGCTCTAGTACCAGTTCTGGAACTACAGCCAGCTTCTAGCACTAGCTTCAGAGCTAGAGGCAGCTCTGTCACAAACTCTGGAGCTGGACAGAGCTCCAGTGCCAGTTCCATCCTCAGAGCCTTTCTGGCCTTCCTCTGTGGCTGCAGCAGACAGGCTGAATGAAGGGGAACCTCATCTCTTCGTCTTCCCTGCAGAGCTGATGGCAGAGCAGTTTACACTGATAGATGTGGAGCTGTTCAAGAACGTGGTGCCCTGCCACAGCCTGGGCTCCGGCTGGTAGCAGTGGAACAAGATGGGCAAGAGGCACCTTGTGCCCACCATGCCTACCACCATCACCCAGCTCAATAGTGTGGCCAACTGCATTATCACTACCTGCCTCAGGGAAGACCCAGGACAGGGCCTGGCTTGTGGAGCTCTGGTTCAAGGTGGCCAGGGAATGTCTGTTCTTTAAGAACTACCTATTCCTTGGCCAGCGCCGTGGCTCAGTTGGTTAATCCTCCGCTTGCTGCGCCAGCACCCTGGGTTCTAGTCCCGGTTGGGGCACCGGATTCTGTCCCAGTTGCTCCTCTTCCAGTCCAGCTCTCTGCTGTGGCCCAGGAGGGCAGTGGAGGATGGCCCAAGTGCTTGGGCCCTGCACCCCATGGGAGACCAGGAGGAAGCACCTGGCTCCAGGCTTCGGATAGGTGCAGTACGCCGGCCGTAGTGGCCACTTGGGGGGTGAACCAACGGAGAGGAAGACCTTTCTCTCTGTTTCTCTCTCTCTCACTGTCTAATATCTGCCTGTCAAAAATAATATTAATAAAAAAAAGTAAAAAAAAAAAAACAACTACCTGTTCCTCTACACCTCCACCTTGTCTGCAGAGCAATGCTATCTTGAGGAAGACCCTGGAAGCAGTGTCCAGGGATAGCTTGCTGGAGATTTTCTCAAATGAAAACAACCACTCACTAAGCAGAGAGCTATTCATCAAGGAGGTGACCTCTAAGTTTGCTACTATGGAGATGAACCCTTAGAAAGCCCATGGGCAGCAGAAGGAGATGGGTGTCATGTAGGGCACTATCCCCTGCCTTGGCATACTCTGAACTTAACCTGGTGATGCATGATATGGCCATGAAGGGTTATCTTTCTCAGTAGCTGATTAACTTCAATAAGAGAAAGGAGTTTGATTTGATCCTGCACATCAAGCTCCTGCAGTTGGCTTGCAACAACTATAGCATCACATTGTATGAGCATTTCCTGGTTCTGGGCCATGGCACGTCTCAGTGCGGCTGAGAGCCACAACTTGTCGGGCATGCTGGAGCTCCTGCCTTAGTCAGCCAGCAACCCCCTAAAGGCCAAGAAGAGCCCTGGCATCATTAAGCGCTGAAGTCACTGACTGGTGAACAGCATAGAGCTCAGCACATGTGGCAGCTGCCACTCCAGCTCTCGTGGCCAGCTCAGATGCAGGCCCTATGTCAGCAGCAGCAACATGGCTGATGCTCTCAGCATGCACACAGCAAGTCTCCAGCTCTGATGTGGAGGAGATCAACACGAGCTTTCTCTTGGACACCCAAGAGAAGCAGTTCTGGGAGTCAACCGCCCAGTCATCCCCAGAGACCTGTGGCTTCAGCCCAGCCTCCAGTAGCACCTCTGCCTTGTCAGCCTCCAGCCAGCCTGTGCACAACACATGCCTAATATCCCTTCATTACAGCTTTTGAACTGCAGGAAAGTGTTGCTTATTCAGGAAAGTATTATTTTCACTTTTAAGAAGTAAAAAAAAGAAAAGGTGTACTAGACACAGAAATTGACACCCCCCCCACATAGATTGCCTTTAACAAATCAGAAATTGTTGGGAATTCTTGGAGGATAGGAAAAGACGACGCTATCAGATTGGTTAATTCTTAAAAATATCTGCCATAGAAAACTAGAGCACATTCAGAGAAATTTCAGGGTTAGAGTCAAGAAATTCCAAGCAAAGCAGAAAGGGCAACTCTGAGATAGCAAATCTACCTGCCTCTGCTCCTGCGCTGACACTTTTTGACTCTTGCTTACGTTGGGCAGTAAGCACAGGTGGTATTTCACCTCCTTTTATCTCCTAAAGCTACACTTGATGACAGTAAATTATGTGACTAGGAAGAGCAGCCAAATGAGAACAAATGTTGAAAAAACTGGAGAACTCTCCCACAGATCTGGCAGTGTATCAAAGTGGACAGTGAGAGAGAGAGACAGAGAGAAAGGTCTTCCTTTTGCCGTTGGTTCACCCTCCAATGGCCGCCAACAGCCGGCGCACCGCGCTGATCCGATGGCAGCAGCCAGGTGCTTCTCCTGGTCTCCCATGGGGTGCAGGGCCCAAGCACCTGGGCCATCCTCCACTGCACTCCCTGGCCACAGCAGAGGGCTGGCCTGGAAGAGGGGCAACCGGGACAGAATCCGGCGCCCCGACCGGGACTAGAACCCGGTGTGCCGGCGCCGCTAGGCGGAGGATTAGCCTACTGAGCCGCGGCGGCGGCCTCCACCAAGTGCTTTACTCCAAATAGGAATCAGCAAATGTTTGACCGGTATTTTAGGAAAGCAGGGATTGTGATGAACAGAACTAATTCTGGAGGGCAAAATAGATACAACACCGGAAAACAGCAGAGAAATTGACTATAAAATTCACATTCCCAGAATGTTAAAAAAGAAGAGGTTTATAAATCGTGAAAAGGCTGTTTCTTGGTAGGACCTTGGACACGGGTAATTTTACTGCAAAATTAAAAACTGAGTGGATGCCAAACAGTACGGTGTTACCCGGATGGGACGCAACAGGGGTGACACTTCCTGTCTTGGCCGGCCAACTAGTGACCTTTGACCTCCAAACCGGTTCCCCGCCCTCCCTGAAGAGCCGTTAACAGTCACTTTTGAACGGCCTTTCTTCTGAACAGCCTGCTTTGTGGCTCCCTCAGAAATCCTATAACCAACGCCAGGCCCAGGGAGCAGCCTCTGTCCGTTGCCCCTCTTGCCCAAGTTGGGGACACACCCGAATACACCAACACCGTTGACGTCTCTGCTTTCTGCTTCACAGCACTGTCGCCGCCCGCGCCCGCCATGGCCGACGCCACGCCCTCACAAGTGCGCCAGAACTACCACCCTGAATGCGAGGCCGCTGTCAACGACCACATCCACGTGCAGCTCTACGCCTCCTACGTGGCCCTGTCCTTGGCCTTCTTCTTCGACCGCGATGACGTGGCGCTGAAGGACTTTGCTAGCTACTTCCTGAAGCGCTCACAGATCGAGAGGGAGCGCGCGGAGAAGATGATGAGGATGCAGAACAAGCGCGGAGGCCGAAACGTCTTCCCCAGAATCCACAAGCCCGACCACTACGACAAGGAGAGCGCCCTCGAGGCCATGGAGAGCGCCATCTTCCTGGCCAAGTGCGTCAACCAGAGCCTCCTGGATCTGCACGAGCTGGCCACCAGCATGGGTGATGTCCACCTCTGCTACTTCCTGGAGACCCACTATATGCAGCAGCAAGTCCAGGACATTGAGGAGCTGGGGGGCTACTTGACCAACCTACGCAAAATGGGGGCGCCAAACGTCAGCACGGTGGAGGTGGAGTACCTCTTTGAAAAGCTCATGCTGGGCCAGGGCGGCAAGGAGAACTGAGCCAAAGGTGTTCCCACTACCTCGCAGAGATGCTCCAGGGCCCAATGAGTGCACTGCACTGCCCACAGGTTCACCTGTTTCTTCCCTTCAGTTTGAACATTGTTTACAATAAAGTTACATGGTTCTTGAAGAAATACAGGTTTTTGGTTGATGAGTGTGTGCAAAACTCTTACCCTTAAGAACAGGGCCAATTCCCAGGAAGGTTTACCAAGGGTGGCCAGGATCTGACCCTTGGCCCTGCCCCGCCCCCCCCCCTTGCCCAATCCATAAGCAGGTCAAGATCTCCACCGGTGGAGGGGAAAGAAAGGAATTCATGGGCTTCTGGAGAACACAACTTGGGTGGGGGGGAGGGGAATGATGGAGGAGGGGGAAGGGAGAAGTGGGGCAGGGGAAGGAGGTGGGAGGGAGAGGAGGAGCAGGAGTAGGGTGAG